AAACTAGATTTATAACCTTAAGAAAAAGTTTTACATGGCCGACCACCCAACTGGATGAACACAGAAATTGCACAAATCAACAATGATCCGAGTAACTCCTATACAGTAATATCATCATATATTTCCTCAAACTGACTCTATTGGAGTCCAATTATTTTCCAACATCTAGCAGCTTTGTCACAATGAATTAGAGCATGACTCAAGTCTTCTTCTGCAAAGCTACAACAATCACAAAGACTATCCACTTGCACTCCCTTCTTTATCAACTGTTTCTTAACCCCAAGAAATTCGAAACAGCACCTCCAAAGAGAGTTTTTGATTTGTTTTAAATGGGCAGTTTCACATAATCATCCAAACCAAGAATCTGCCCCTTTTAGATGAACTAGTAAAGTGCACGTGCGATGCACGTGGTATCGAATGATTTTCGCTGAGTAAGTTTGTGAAATAAATAAATTAATTTATTAAACATATCATTACAAGAATGAAATACAATATAGAACAAATGAATTCATATGTGATTTTTTTTTTTATTTAGAATTAACATAATGATGTCGTAATATAAAAAGAGTGAAATAACGTTTTACAACCGCTAACTAAAAAATATAAAAAACAAATCCTTAATACAAAAAACACTAAGATTTTCTTTCATATTTCTCATAAGAAACATTCATACTCGCTAGAGTCCAATACATCAATACTATTGCAAAATTCTTTTTAATTCATTTGGCAAAACGGTAATTTTATTCAAACACTTAAGAAACATCATGACCCTCAAACTTCATGATCGTATAATCTTTATAATAAGGTACTTCTACTGACAATGCATAAATATCTCCATGAAATAACTAACTGTGTCATTAAAATTACTGGTATTTTGTATTATTGTATAAACCACTACATTCCTCTGTCTCTAGACATATTGGTGCCTACCCCATTGATGCATCGCCCCACGAGGTGGAAATGAATTTTATCTCCAAATAAAAGTTGACTTTTTAAAATTTTGGTTACATGTACTTCTCCCGAGGTGCTAAATTATTTTTAGAAATCATCATACATTACCTGAAAGTACCTTTAAAGTAATTGCACATATGTTCGAGTACAATACACTAATGAGATTATGAATATTTCTATAAAAAGTGACAACTTCATTCGAACATTCAAAACTATTTTGATACTCCGACATTGTTATTTATTTGGAATATAGACGAACAATATAATCTATTATTTGAAAATTATTGACCATCATGGTTGTTGCAATGATTTTAGAATTGTTTATCATAATATCTTTCACATTCGTTTGAATATGCAATATTTGTGTGCCAAATAACTTCTTTAATGCTTTATTGTCCAACATTATTCATCATACAAAATGATTATAAAATTCAAGATAAAGATCATTTCTTTATTCTCCAACAATGACAAAACAAAACAATCAACACAATGAGGAAATATTGAGAAGCATATCATTTGTTAAATTATTTGATAGGAGAAGAATTAGAATTCTATTATATTACGATACTCTTAGTCATCTGCAAAGTTTATTATTATGGAGTCATGATTAAAATATACATTATGTATTACAAATTTTTGGATTTTTTAATTATTTAAAATTAAAAATAAATAATATAGGATCATTATTTATAAATCCAATTTTTTACAGAGTCCATATATTTAAACGCTAGTAACAAAAAAGTAGTAATTTTCAAAGACTTTTTGTTTGTAAATATTGGTATTCATACTTCTCTGAAAATTCACACGTATTCTTTTTCTCATTGTGTTACTATTATATTATTTGTTTCTTATTCTATAGACAAATTATATTTTATTTACTAAATAATTAAAGCACATTTATATGTATCGCGTTATTTTTTGTATGTGTTTTATATAATAATGTTTTCAAATTATCCTTTTTATTAGGCTACAACTACTATAATCACATAAGATAAAATATAAATTTAATATATTGGATAAAAATGTACTTTTTATACGAATTATTATATTAAAAAGTTTACAATTTTTTTCAATTTTTGATAAAATATTAGGTAACTAAGTCATTTTCATAATCACTGAATACATATATGGTACCACCATTATAGGGTTCTTTTTCAAGCAGTAATTGAATATTTATATCGGGAATGAGCGCTCTAGCCAAAACGTGGGAATAGTTGTAAGTATACCTTCATTGTTTTTATTTTTTCAATATGAATTGTTTCAAATCTATGCAAGAAAAATATACCACAAGTTTATCTTATGTTATTTTATACTTAATAAAATTGATTTAACTTGAATAAAAGAATTAATATATACTGTAATTTTAGGCCAATTTATTAATTTTAAATTAGTACTGATATATATATATATATATGTATATACATATCGATATAAATAATTATATTATTTTTATTTTATTTGCAATATATTTGTCAACTCAAACAATATTGAAAAGAAATGATACAGATGATAGATTATGTAAAGCATAATTTATAAATTACAATGACATGTATTTTGATAGAATATTTTTTTTATTAACTAAATAATGCCCCCAATATGAAATTATTTTGGATCTATCACTGCAATTAGCTTTCCAATAGAATTTCCATTGAATTTTTGCACAATTCCAATGACAGTTTTTCCAATGATTGAAATATGGTCCAAAAAAAATTCCAATGGAAATTCAAGTAACTGAAATCTTTAAATCCACTAAAGTTCATGTAATTTAATTTGAACTCTGTTGGAATAGCCAATGAAATTTTCCAATGAAAGCAATATTTATGAAATATTCGTTGGAATTTTCTGTAGAATACCTTACCGTTGAATTTTTCATTGCAATATAGTAATTTGTTGTAGTCCTCTTAAACATTAATTTTTTACGTACTATTTATTGATTAATTGTGTTTACAATTTTTCTATTAAAAATATATTAAACACATGAACTTTTTAGTTCCTATATATATATATATATATATATTTTCAGAAATCACTCATTATTTTATCTCAAGATTACCTATTAATTTACCAATTGAGTTACATTTCTTACATATTAATTATTTAAAAATTAGAATATTTCTTATTTTATATGTTCAGTATGATATTTATATATTATATTAAAAAAACTAATATAGCAAATAAAAATTTATTTAAAATTAGAATAATAAAGATTTTTTTTTGGTAACTCACATGGATAAATGTACAAATATTTATTGTCTATCACATCAAATTTACACATAAAATTATAAGGACAAAAAACTAACAAGCGTTTAACAACTCAGCTCGTTTATGTCGATAAGTATATTTACAAAAGGTTTATATTTCTTCTATTAATTATAACATTTTTATTTATTACTTTGTTTCATATTTATTAGTACGTGTCACTACTTATTTATTTTTATTATTATTTATCATATTTGATATTTTTCTAAACTCTTATCTTGTTCTTTTACATGTTCTTAGCTGTAGATTTGTCAAAAAATGCATAATATAAAGTTTAGAATTTTTTCGATCATCTGTGTCATTATATATCAATTATTTGTATATCTTATATTATTTATATTTAATTACAATTTTTTTAATTTATACTACAATAAATATTTATAATTCATCAATTCATCAATAATATTCTCGAGTCAACTT